ATTTGACTGTGTGGGCCCTAACAAACTAAGGATGTGGAAGCATGGGAATTCTAGAATACTTAATCAAGCTCATCCAGAATACAAGGATGAAGAGTCAATCATTAGAACAGAGTAAGGGGATACTGAAGGAGCTCTGGTAGCATCCCAGTTACGAGTCGTGCTGCTAACCTCAAGGCCAGCTAATTCGAAACTACCAGTGGTTCTGCTGGAGAAGATGAGGCTTTCTGCTCCCATAAAGATTTATAGCCTCAGAGACCCTATACAAGGTCGCTGTGAGTTGAAACCGACTCTAAGGCACATAACCACCACCACCAAGGGGATACTGTGTGGTTTAGGAAAGAGATGTGTAAGGGTTGTATCCTTTCACCAGAATTATTCAATCTGTATGCTGAGTAAATAATCCAAGAAGGTAGACTGTATGGAGAATGCAGCATCAGGATTGAAGGAAGGCTCAGTAACAACCAGCTGGTGTGGCACTATAGGATAAGCAGGGGACTGTTAACCATAAAGCTGGTGGTTCATATCCACCAGCCACTTCCAGGAAATCCTATACAGGGTCACTATGAGTCAGAACTGACTTGAAAGCACTTAACAACAGCTGTATATGACACAATCTTGCTTGCTAAAAGCATGCATAATCAGAGAAAAGATTGAAGTTGTCAAGGATTTCAGTTTGCTTAGCTCCACAGTCAATGCTCATGGAAGCAGCAGTCAAGCCACCAAACAACCTATTGCATTGGACAGATCTAATGAATAAGATCTCTTTCAAGTGTTAAAGACCAACGATTTCATTTTGAGGACTAAGGTGCTCCTGACCCAAGCCATGGTATTTTCTGTTGGCACTTAAAAAAACAACAACAACAAAGAGTAAAATATTAGAATGTAATAATAAAGTACTGAACCTGAGTTTTGGAACACAGTGGTTTCTCACTTGCTCATAACTAGCAGGATTCTGTGACTCTTTTATAGTCCTGGTGTGATAAGCACCGCACCTGGTGTAATCCTGGTAAAGTCCTGGTAAAGATAAGAACTCAACTTCTAGCCCCAAGGTCCATGGTTCAAACCCACGAGTTGTTCCTCAGAAATCCCATACAGGGTTGTTATAAGTCAGAACAAACTCAATGATATTTAACAACAGCAACAACTTATTAGGAGTCCTGGTGTGGCACTATAGACTAAGTACTGGATTGTACGGTTGGTGATTCAAACCAGTTACCTGCTCCTCAGAAACCCTATACTGGGTCACTAAAAGTCAGAACCAACTCGACAGCACTTAACAACAAACAATATGACTTATTAAAAAAATTTTTTTTTAATCTCTTATTTTTCAGCTTGACCATCTCTGCTGAGTGCCCAATGCAACTTGAAGACTTCCCAATGGATGCCCATGCTTGCCCTCTGAAGTTTGGCAGTTGTAAGTCATTTTCCAAGTAAACTGGGAGATGTTTACTTCTTGTTTTTATATCTCAGATTGAACATTACATCCTCATAGGAGAACCCCTTGAAGACACCATTTTAAAGCCTAGCCAGTAACTAGAACTTTGGTGGCACTGTTGGATAGGCACTGAACTACTAAGTGCAGTTTGAACCCACCAACTTCTCCATGGGAGAAATATGAGGCTTTCTGCTCCTATAAAGCTTTTAGCCTCAGAAACTGTATACAAGGTTACTATGAGTTGGAATCTACTTGATAACACCTAACACCAAGAAGGCCAAAATTTAACTTGCAAAATTTGCATTGTAGTCATTGCTGTGTTAAAATATTATTTCAGAGTAAGAACATTTTCGGTCATGTTCATATTTACTGTTCACCTTGGACACACAGTAAACATGACACTGTACATCAGACTTGCATAAAATAGTCATTCAGTAATTTTATGTTGCTTGAACAAGTACATTTCTCATGTCATAGTACTTTAAATGGAAAATTATGCAAATCTACTAGACATTTCTGGGTTGCAGTTGAAACTATTCCAGATGTATGACTTCAAGAATGCCTGGGTCTGAGATATTTGGTATAAACAGCATTACAACTTATGTTAAGAGCTGTTGAGTAAGTTTTCATAAGGACTTGGTATAGGGTTTCCAAGGTTTTTATACCCATGTCGGAGCAGAAACCCTCATGTTTCTATTGATGAGTAGCTGGTGGGCTCCAGTGGCAACCTTGGGCTCAAACCATCAACCCTGAGGTCTGCAGTCCAGTGCTTATCCTATAGAATCACCATACTCTCTTGGAACCTATGTATTATCTACTTTTTTCTTTATACTGTTCATATACTATACACTGTTATGTTACATTCAGGTGTGTTTTTTTACCCCCTTAAAACTATTCTGTTGTGCTTTTGGTGAAAAGCTATATCACAAAATAAATTCCCATTCAATA